CACATTATTTTCCACATACTGTACATTATTGTTTCTCCTCTATGCCCCGCCTTTTTGAAACGCGTCGATTTTTACAAAACTTTAGGTAGGTGTGGCTAACTCTTAACTTTTATAAAGAATATCTCTTTGGATTTGAGACTTTAGTCTTTGCAACTTTACAGATCTTCTTTATGCACCAAGAGCTTGTAACACTCTAAAGAGAAAGGAAAAAATGAAATCGCATCATATGACCCCTTTAAGATGACGGTTGTGCAAGGACTCAGAAAGATCTGCCTGCTATTCGTGCCTCTGACATCCAAGACGTACTGCTCTAAACCGCTTCCTCCAGACACTTGACAAACAGAAAAACATGCAGGCAAAACAGTTTGATATAAAAGAGGAAATTCCAGCTGGGTTATACAATGGAAATGACTGTGGGGCAACGCAGAAGCGGCGAAGCCATTTCAGGAATTCATGTAATCTCCTGCTAATATCAGGACTGAGGGGTGGGGTTTCTGTAAATCTCGAACAAGAGATCCTGAAGCCCACATGTAGCCAGAGGAAGTGGTCAGAGCCTTTAGGAGTGCGATGAACATCCCACACATATTCACACTGCTGTTAGAAAGGGGGTCACAACTTGCTGGCATGAATGGAGCATACTTATACAACACTAAAATAACAGACACATGCATATGTGAACTGCAATGACTGCCACATACTGCAGGGTACTGCCTTGAGAAAAATAGGGAAGTTTAGAACTTGGAGGTAATTGTGCTTTCTTTAGCTCGTTCCTCTGAAATGCAGATTGCAGCACCAAAGAATGCAGAACATCTGGCCAAGATTAAAAACTAGGCTTCAGCTTCTTCTCGTTATTTTGTGAAACACAGCTTGTGGCACAGCCAAATACCCATTTAAACCCTGTTCTGTGAACCTGATGAATTAGGTTCAGTAAAAAAATAAAAAATAAATAAAATAAAATAAAATAAAGGGGGAGTGAGTGAGATCTGGCATATCATTGCTTAAGGAGCTCTACAGCCCTGCTGCTTGTACGCGTGTGTGCATGAGTACATAGCTTTAGCAAGTCCAGGCCTCCTCCCTGCTCCTCTCCGATGTGGTTACACTGGACTACATTCTACAGAAGAACATTCTGTATTAGCAGCACATGCAAAAGGAAGCTGATGGCAGCTGGTAAACCATGAATAAGCAGTAACTCAAATGAAGCTTCTTTCATAATGTTGGTTTTTGTAATGACAAAGCATTGCCTATTCTCACCCCACCCCACCCGCAGAACTCTGAATCAATGTTAGCAGCGATCAGAGCGGCAGCTGCCTCTCCCAGCACAGCAAAGGAAGCAAAAGCTTTGATTTGACTCAAATTATGCTTTTAATACTGTGCCATGGGTAAATCAGACTGAATGGGAATGTCTCCGTTCAAATTCATGTAAAATAATGAAAAATTTACACCAAGATGATTCCACAACACGGCGAATGACTCAGCCAAAATTACTTACTGACTGAGTGCAACTGATATGGCGAGAGTATGTAGTACTGCGATTGAAAATTACACAAAGCTACATAGATATGCACCTGTACCCAAAGGGCTTTCCAATGACGTTCGTTTGTTAATGAAGTCAACGAGGTAAACAGGAAGACTTACCAAGGGCTCGTCTGGGACACAGGCGTCACGCATATATCCTGCTCCTCCATTCAAATTTCTCCATTTTACCATTCAAAAGTTTGGGGTTAGTAAGATTTTTTTTTTATGTTTATGAAAGACGCCTCTTATGCTCACCAAGGCTACACACAGTTGATCAAACATATTATTGAAATATTACAATTTTAATAATATATTTTAAAATGTAATTAATTCCTGTGATGGTAAAGCTGAATTTTCAGCAGTAAGAATTCCAATCTTTAGTGTCACATGGACCTTCAGAAATCAATCTAATAGTCTGATTTGGTCTCAAGAAACACTTCTTATTATCAATGTTGAAAACAGTTGCTTAATATTTTTGTGCAAACCGTAATACAATTTTTTCAGGATTCTTTGATGAACAGAAAATTTAAAAGAAAAGCATTTATTTTGTAACATTATGAATGTCTTCACTGTCAATTTAATGCATCTTTGCTGAATAGAAGTCTTAATTTCTTTAAAAAAAAAAAAATTTTTTTTAAATCTTACTGACTCCAAACATCTGAACTGTATTTACATAATGTTTTATATTTCAGTTAGATAGCTAAAATATACAGATATGAAATCGACAGTCCATCTAGCACTTACCTAAGGACTAATTATTTCCTTAGGAAACACTGATGGAATTATACTCAACAGGTTCATTCCTGCAGCTTGCCCTCCCGCCCTCTCTCTCTGTCTCTCACCCTTTCCATTGCACTTTCTGCAGTTCTTTCCGTTGGTCAAGTCTCTGTGCCGTGCATTCTTGGGATGCCTGGTACATATGGTATAAATTCCATTCGGTCTGCAGAGGTCCTCCATGCTGTCTGAGATACGCCGCGCTGGACTGACTCCACCCTCCCACAGAGCTGGGCCAGCTCACACTCTGTACTGCTGAGGTGAACTAGCTTGACTGCCTTAAAAGAGAGAAAGAGACAGAGAAATAGTCCACAAGTGAAGTCAACAGGTTTTAAACAAACCCGTTTTTCTCTGTATAGAATGAATGAGCTCGTTATTTAGAGTTTGGGTCATCGTATGTGTGCGCCACCTTGTATGTCGAGGACAGAAATTCAATGAAGAACAATAGCACAAAACCCCAAACTGGGTCACTTACATGGCGGCGAAGAGCACAAAGCCTGTAGCCCATTTAATCAAAGGGAGATTATACAGGTCCCTCAGGGTAGACAGCAGAAGCAAACTCACTCTAGAAGTCTACAAGTCTCTGACAGTGCCGAATCATCCCCTCGCTAAGGCAGCGAAAAGGTATTGCTAGGAATCTAACTGCGTAACGTTACTGGGGATGAAAGTGTGGACAGAAGCTCTGCAGGCTCACTTCCTGAAACCTCGTTGCACAAACCCGCCTGTGCGTCCAGCATTTGGTCCCACAGGACTGTGGGGCTGCACAGACGGGAAGCTCCGCTGTCCTTGAGACAACAGCAGACCTTCTTCTGAGATCCTCCCCTCCCACACTCAAGACAACTACAGCCACCTGCCAAACAGGCAAATCACTGTCACAGCCGAGCTTCATCTGCAAAAAAAACCCACTCACAGTCTGTGCGGCACGATACTGCACCAATTACGGAGGCAACAGTGGAATGTATGCCAAGATTCCAGAAAAAAACCCTTAAAAACTCTCAAACCTCCACAAATGAGAGTGTAAAAAAAAAATCTAAATGTCAAAGAGGCCTGCAGAACAGTGAAAATGTGTAACGCTAAGGGTGTGGTTCCAAAACTCTCCATGATATGACATTTCTCCATGCTATGGTTTTTTCTCCACACAGATCTATTCATGAAACTCCATGAGGGCCCAACGTTAAAGAGGAAGCAAAAATATGAACTTAGAAAAGTGGACAGAAGAAGCATTTGAACGGCAGATACCTTGAATAGCAATCAAACATCCTCCTTAGTGATTTCTCCATTTAGTGCACAGACTGACAAGGGAGTTTCAAACTCCTCGGTTATAATTCGGTATCTTTCCAGCAACGCTTGGACGAAGAATAAACTCATTTAGCAGCAAACACAAGTGCAAGGCCAGACAATGGGTTCGCAAAACAAATATTTTCCGGCAAAAAAGGCTCCCGCACTCCCACCTTTAGCTCCACAGACACTTGAATCAGGAAATAAGAGTTGATCTTACTGAATTCATTGCATTGAAAAGATTGCAAGAAAATTAGACCTGTACACATTGATCTGAGATGTCCAACCGTTCTACGGATGGTGATTATCCTGGGTAGGATAACAAATGTTCCTTTTTTTCCACAAACTGCACTGTGCTGCTTCTTTAATGAGCTACTTCAGTCTGAACTTGCTTATTTAAAAGTGTATACAAATGACATGTACGTCATTTTACAGCCCTTCATTTATTCAGACATATTGAATTTATTCAGGGTAGATGCCATTTAATTTTTCACAAATGAAAACAAGGCTGCAAGGAAAAAAATTATAGGCTATATTGTTTTAAGGTCATACATCAAGTTCATAACACATTTTTTCAGACACATTTGTTCTAGAGACAAACAAAGTTGCATCAGCTGAATGATCGAGACTGAGCTACACAACAACACATTAAACGGACCTCCTTATAGCCTCGTTTCATTTCAGGAAATATTAAATATGGCATCTACCCTAAATAAGGTACATAGACAGAACAACTTACCACTTAAACTTCTGGAATTTAAATAGAAACATTAATTCTGAATACAGTTATTCATAAAACACAGATTTATAAAAAATAGAAAAACAAGAGAGCAAAACTCCTTTTCTTAAATGTAGTTTCAGTGCATTTAAACAAATGTATTAAAAACCTGACACAAATATGCATATCATATTCAGTCATGTGAAAAAAATTTTGCTAGTCTCAGTAAATCAATAAGATTTCATAATCAGCTCTAAGTTCATAAGCAACATCAAGCAAGGAAATAATGTTCTTAAACTAACATTAAAAAGCCAGATTTCTTTAAAATAATAATAATAATAATAATAAATCTTTAAATCAGGTAATCATGTGGTGTAGATTAAAAATGACTAAAAGGAAAACCTGTTTTTAACATGTCATAACCTCACTCATTAGATTAATTCTGCTAAGGTTGGTAGGTAACGATATGGTACGTCATGATTTAAAATGTTGTATTTTACTTAAAACAATTAGCAACGAACCCCATTAAATCAGTTGCATAAACATTAGTTAAGGATGTTTGTCAACACTTGATTGCTTAATCCCATCCACTAATTCAAGATATAATTTATAATAAAATTGTAAAAGCTGAAAAGATGATTTGATATCAGTTCTGACACATCACTCTCACCACCGGTAAAAGTCACCTCTGTAACAGTCATATTTCATAACTTACCTTCAGCAGTCGGACGCCATTCAGACGTAAGAAGAAATCCACAATGCCATACTGTTGAAACGGAGGTCTCCACTCCAGATGTTAGGCTGTGTGTGAAAAGGGAAAAGTAAGATAAAGCAGACACACAGACAAAAAGTAAACAAGTAACCTAAAGGGAAAAAGAGGACAAAACTCGTATATACAGTATCGCACCGTACAGGGTGGGGTCTTGAGGAATTTGCCATGCTCTCGCCTCACAGGAATCAGAGACGATGTATAGCCTACGCGTTGTGTCATGGCCAACTCCATGTTTTATACACTACTATCCAGCTACCCAAACTAATATTTTGATCTTCGCCATCTCTCGCAGGCTATAGCAGAATCTCCTGTTGCTCCTGTTATTCATCTTTTAAACAGACGTAGACTAAAAACTCCGTGTTTTAGGCTTTATCTTAAACTCAAAAAAAAAATGAAAAATCTGTCCTTTAATAACACTCACATTTTTACAAACCTGTATGACTTTCTATCCTCTGTAAAAAATAAATAAATAAATAAAATAAAATAAAATAAAATAAAAACGAGAAAATGTGAGGCGGAATATGAGGGTTAGCCTCCATTCACTTTGATTGCATTCTTTCTATATTCAATTAAAGTGAATGGGGACTACGGCTGTCCTGCGTAATATCTCTTTTTATGCGGGTCATACAAGTTTAAAACATCATGAAGGTGAGTAAATAATGACTAAATATTCATTTGATGTTAATTATCCTTTCAAAGCCTATTCCTTGCCCTCTTAAGAAAGCTGAAAATGAGCATAAATATAACGCAACTATGAAAAACAAGCAAAGTAAACAAAAATCACGAAGGAAATACGTCAGGCGATGAGTTTAATGTAACGAAAGCAGTATAACGTCCCGTGTTACATCAGTTGTCCGTGTTAATAGGCTACAGTGTTCATTCTCAGCGCTTCAGTCTGACGGACTTAAATAGCGTCAAATCGATATCGGTGCAATATTGAGTTTTTCGACAAACACCATTAAGCGAAAACTTCTGAATGAGGAATGTCCAACACCTACTTACTTCACTGGTAGAATTCTTGATTTCTCTCGTCGACCGATTCGTATGTCACGCTGGAAAGCGGTTCGACTCCCAGATATCACATAAAACTGGCGTAACATCCTTTATTTTCGCAATGGGGTTTTTTCCCCCCTCATTCTGCCTACAGACTGTCTACTAGCGTACGGCTCACGCCCTGTACGGCTCAACTCTGAACCGAGCGCTCTCGCGATCTCTTCCAATGGAATGTAACAGATTCCATTCGTTCTGAAGTGGGTTCACGCACTTCCGAAAAGTTAGAACGAATGTCGAACGATTGGCCTCCGTTGTGTAACCGAACGCTTCCTGGATTTAAATATCCCCCCGGTGACACGCGTATCAAATCCTCGCGAAAACCGTTAAAACCCTCATGATTCAGTTCAGGCACAGTTCTGGCGCACAAGGCAGCGCACATACGACATTTAAAAGCTCATTGGGAACTCAAGTTCGATTCTGACCTGGGTCATGCCCCGATCCCATTTCCAGTAGCCTATCTCTCACCCACTTTAATGTCTCACTCTGACTGTAAATAAAGGCTAAACGTCGAAGAATCAAATATAAACTCTGCTACAATTTAAGTAATTCGTCCTTTAGCTGAAAGCCACACCTTAACCTCAAATCACTCCTGACATCAAAGAGCTAAAGCGCGACTCAGCTAAAATATCTAATCCTAACCTACTCAAGACAACTCAACAGTGTTACAGAAATCACTAACAATATAATTACTCCACTTAAACACGACACCATTAGTCTTACGTCCTAAATTTCACAATCTAGCCCACATATCGCTGCGTCCTGAGTCTCCGCTTCAACTCCCCTCATACCGGCTTCTCCTCCCGATCAGCTGGCAGCGCAGTGACGCCAAGAGCAACAGCTGACCAATCAAACCCTAACGTCAAAGACCAGAAGTAACTCCCACTTATGGCCGATCATGAATGTCAGGCCTGCACACCAATGCCATGCTCTGACTCAGACGGGTGTTAAGCACACTGTCCAATGACGCGATCTCTCTCCGACTGGCGTTTCACGGCTCTTCTAATGAGCAAATGACTGAGCACCTCTGTAAGCAGGACTGGATAACTGTTTTCAGACTCCTATTAAATCTTACTTCACTTTGATACAATTCAGACTCGTGCGTAATGTCTTTAAAATTTCCACAGACATTGTTTTACTCTTGTTTTTTAGACATAACTCAAGCTGTGAGCAAATGCTTTTTAATAGGTCCATATTCATGTCCACATTATTTTTTTGTCTTGTTAAAGCCACACTCAGTCTTTACTCATTAATAGGGTTTTACTAAAAGAAATGAATAAACCTATGTTTAAAAAGATGTTAACTCACATAAGATGAAAATTTATATTATAAAAGCTGTTTTAGTTTACATGGAGGGTCTGCTTCTGGTGGCCGCCATGTTGAGGTCACATGACTACCGAATATCCCCTTTATTTCTTTATTTGTGGAATTATTTAACATGGCACGATGCCAATTTCTACAATGGTATTAAAGTAGAATAAATAGAATGAATCAGAATGAATTCAAGATGACAACACTGACAACAGTAGTCGGGTGAAAAACTCAGTAAGGAAAAATGCTGCATTTCATTTGTGATGATGACAAAATGATTCCTGAGGTTTCTGGTGAAATTTAAAGCAGACTGCCATTTATGCTATTGCTCATTTTGTGGACGGAAACCTTAATTGGTGGTTTGCTGAATCTAGAGGGATTTTTGAACAAAAATGCAAATTCCTGCCTCTGATGGAGAGAAAACCATAGAAAAATACAGGCTTTTACAATCAGAATTTTAGACCTTGCCGTCCTTTGTTTTTGGCTACAAAAATAGGATAATGGAGGAGAAATAAGCAACATTGTGTTGTATGGAATTCAGGAGGAGGATAATTATAATTATTATTTAGTGTTATTGTAGACATGGGTTTCAGAAACTCAAAAACGTCATCAATAACTTCACTGTATCCTCAGTAAATAATCACAGCAAGTAAACTTAAATGCTTGCTTGTGTGTAACCAAAAAAATTTTTGTTTCCTCATGTGCAGTAACTCAAGAATTTAAATGCCATTCCATTCATAATTCTTGTACTGCAAAGTCAGATCAAAAAAGTACTAATAAGTGCATGCATTTTATCATATACATCATAACTGAGGGCTTGAGAGGGTCTTTTCCCGCATGACTAAATTCCAACTGTCACTGTTATAAGGGCAGTGCCTCATTTTATTCCACATTCCCACACCACAAAGGCTGATGATACACGGGGCAACTTTTTGAGCAATGTTGTCGGGCAACTTTGGGCAATGTTGCCGTCAACAGGCAACCAGGTGAGACACAGGGCCCACGACCAATCTAAAGTATCCAGATAGAAATTTGTTACCCATCCTCAATGGGAAAGTGCCCAAGCAGCATTGCTCAAAAAAAGTTGCCTGGCAAAATTGCTCAAAACGTTAATCAGTATCAAGTACCATCAGCCTAACTCTGAGATCAAGTCCAGCAACTCATTTTACATAAATTAATTTGAGAAATTAATATACATTATCAACAATTATTAACTGAACACCGTAAGCTATAATTTTAGAGGTTACCTAGTAGAGTTGTAGTAAAAGAAGGAAATACTTAGTGAAGTTAATGCGTTCAGATCTGATTGGAGACTCTTTGGTCAGATATTGTGTTGGAGATGGTGACATAAACACATTGGCAAAGTAGTTTCCTGTCCTGTTCCCACATGGTTAACATTTCCTGAAAATCTATTGATTATTTATATAAACAAAGTGTTAGCAGCTTTGGGAAAAAGGCCATTACACCTAGTCACAATATTCCAAATTTAAATGTCATACAAATGTGCTTTATCTCAGGTGCTATCTGTGAGACATTCTACATCCTGTTACTTAAGGGACTGCAGACATTAAGTATATCTGGTGTATGTCCTGGAGGGCACTTTCTCTCCCTCATCCTGATTAGGTCAAATACATTAATGAGAGCTCTGGCCCACTGTCTGGACATGTTCCTATCTATTAGACATCACAGTGTTATGGGACGTAAAACAAACCTCTTCAATTTACTTATTAAATGCCACTCAGTTTGTCCCCATGTGACAACATAAACACAATTTGGGAACATGTTATGTTACTTTTATGGTTAATATTGCGTTAATATACCTGGTGCACAGAACCGGTCTCTCCTAGAACACATTAATCCAGCCCTTAAATGGATTGCAGGAATCTATCGGCCCACTCCCAGGCAAGTGCCTTCCTGCATGAGTACAGCGATACACTTCCATGATGAGAACATATTATGTAAATGATCTCCTCCTGAAGAGGATCCTGTTTCATCCTTTCTTAATATATAATATCAATTTATAAAACAAAATTTAATAATAGAAATGTGGCATTACTTTTCCCATGAAAATTTCTTGTCTATGGTAATTGTAACAGTAACAATAATTTAAAAATAAATAAATAAATAAAAAATAGCTTTTAATAGTAATAGTATTCATCAATATGCTAACATATTATTGTTATACTTTTTATTTATATATAAAAAAACATTTTATTAAAATGTACTTAAAAACTATATGTCACTGTTAAAAAGCACTAACCAAAAACATTCAGTCATTATTGTTATAGTTTTGATTTCATTTTATTTATTTATTTCAATGTTAAAACATGATCATTTTTAAAATTGTAATTTTATTCACCGAAGTTGCATTAAAGGGGGAAAAAACTACAGTACCGGTAAATGCATTTCAAATGTTACAAAAAAAAAACTTTTTTTCCAAATATTGTATTCTTTAAACTTTCATCAGCAAATTCTCAACTTGCAGGCATGCCAGTTTTGCAGACGTTGTGCATTCTAGTAGTCAGTTTGTGAAAATATGCAGGTGACATTTTATCACATGTTTGCTGTAGCACTTTGAGCACCTTGCACTGTAGCACCATATGATCCAGCAGTTCCCACCAACACATCAAATTTGCATTTATCCATCCATAATACTCGTCTAATCAACTGCCATTCAATATTTAAAGTATGTTCTTGTTTATTTAAACCTTTTATAAGTATTTGTCAGCGTCAGGCTTTTTCTTTGTAACTCACCCTAGAGAAGATTTATAATTTGTAATGTTTAATTTCATATAATGTTTTACTTATCAAGATACCCCAACTTTTGACAGGCCCCACCCTGTTACTGTGAAACAGCACCCAGTAGAATCAGAGTAAAGCCACTGTAACTTTAAGAGCTGCCTTTTGCAAAAGAGAACTGATTAGTGGTCCTGGCAGCCAACCACACAAGCGGCTGAGCGAAGACTCAAGCCAATGAGAAGGCCTGCTGGGCGGAGGTTACAAAACCAGCCTGAACCCAATGACTCAGCACAGGCAAGTGCGTGCAAGATGACACTTAACAGCAATTTAAAGAGCCAGTGCTCACCATGCAAAAGTAGGTGAGGGTAAAATACGCACTCTTGAATCACAGCAGCTGTTCCCCTCCCTGCGAGCAGGACTGTGAACGTTGTTCAAAGTGACACGGCTGAACACAACTGTCAGTTTTTGGCCATTTTCTGAAAGGACCACACCTACACACTCATGATAGACGCAGCATGACTCAGCACAGGCCATCATGTCACATAACCGCACATGACTGCAATGACAGTCATGATGAATGCTGGCTAAACAAAAATAATGGTTTGTGATAGAGCTGCACAAAGGCAGGAACCTGAACACAACAACTGTCTGCTGCTCAGCGAAATGTAAATCTCTTGTTTGTTTCACGTCACCATAAATATTCAAACAATCACAGAACAGGCAAAAGACAAAGCTCTTTCATTTTCAGATGAGTGAATATGTGGGGATCTGAGCCACATCCTGAATGTTGTTCTAAACTGAATAGTTGCAACAGCCAGAAAGGCAATACCTCAGTGACAAGGCACTAGCTATATTTACATCATGTGCTGTTAACCTCAGAGTACATACTTCTCAAGCTGACGGCAGGAGTTCTAGAACAGACAGGTAGGGCTGGACTTTACAGGTTCCTGATCTCACAGGATGTGATGAGAAGTGCTTTTTGTTAGTTGTTTGAATGATACACACATTGAGATTAAACAAGCTCATATTAATTTACAGTGTAAAAACAAAATATGTCATGAGCATATTAATTTAATATCAAAACATGAAAAGCGGGACCAATTGTGATCAGCATTTAGAGCAAACACGCATTGCATTATCATGTTTTTCCACCCTTTTACATGCTAAAACAATATTTACAGGAAATCTTTTTAACAACAGGGAACTCAGAGTGAAAATACTTCGGAATGGGAGGTGTGATGAATCACCAACACATTTTAAAATGATAGTTTTAGTATGTGAGCTTATGATCAAGACACGGCTAAAGAAATTAACAGTGTGACCTGATTTTAATTCAACTGAATTGTTCAGCATTCTGTCAGGCTCCCTTACCATGAAACACAGCAAGACCTATAGCACAGCGCATGGTCAGAACTACACACAGGACAGAAAATATTAAGAGGAATGCTGAACCACAGTATTCAAGGGCAAACTGTATTAGTCCCTATAGTTCACAGAAAACCAAAACGAGGGGGTTTGATATGCTACTTACAGAAAAATGAATCATTATCCAAAAGCATTATGTAAGCAGCGTTAAGTCCATTATTGTCTCATGATTTTATATATATATATATATATATATGGTATATTCCAGTCATCATATGTATAAATTTCATTTTTAATCTATTTTTGAATAAATTATTAGATAAAGAATGAGCATCATGTCATTGACCCTAGTATTTTATTATTCCTCGCATCTTTATGGTTTTATGTTACTACAAAGGTTGCAGGCTCATACTAAA